AAAACTCCATGAATAATATTCCTTGCATAGCAATATCTTTCTAACTAGAAACTTGAATACTTGGTGTTGTGACCTACTTAAACAGTACTAAATGTGAAGCAGTAATTTTTAAAGAAAGATTTCCTATATCTATTATTGCTACTTCAAATTTTATTTGCAATTCACATAAATTCCATTTCCAATTTACATAAATAGTTGAGGTGTAAAATATTTGATCTACTATGAGTGAGCTGTTGTTTTGCATGGGACATTTTGTGTCACCCACTTTTCTACATGTAATTGTAAACATTAATTTCCAAGTGTAATTTCTTCCTCCCAAACATTAATACAGAATAGACCTTTAATTGAAACAAGGTGGTCATAACACTAAGGCAAGTAGGTAGACAGCAGAGCAGTTGTAGAATTGTAGGCCACTAAATAAAAAAATATTCCTAATAGTAAGTAAATTGCATCTTCTAGAATTGCAATTGTTTACCCTTCTAGGTATCTTCCTAAAAGCGTTAAATATATCGTATCGCAGTGATAAATATATACTCATGTTTTTAGCAGCATAATTTATACCAGCAAAATTTTAGAAGCAGCTTCTATATCCACCAACACATGAATGGATAAAGAAAATGTGGTATGAGGCATACCACTGCCACCAGCAGAAGGTTGCTGCTGTGGGCAGCCAGCCCTGCCTCTGTATGCCTGCTGTTGTTGAAAAGCTTGCTGCTCTTAGCTAACCATCACAGACTGGAAGAAACAGCCAGATACGCCTCTTCCTGTGTGCCCAGAGGCCACCACTGAAGCCCATTGCTTCCTTCAGGCAGCCAGTGCCCACTGGGAGAATCAAGCAAACATACCTCTGTGTGCCTGCTGTCATCACAGGAGTCCTGGTGTAGACACACAGGCTGAGAGAAGAAAGCCCCACCACCACACAGCCCTGGCAGTCAGGGAAGTCCCAGGGTAGCTGCATCAGTCTGAAGACGGGTCAGAGAGGTGTAGGTATCTGTCACATTCCCCTGCATCATGGAGGGACAGCCAATGTGGGAAGCGCCTGGGACCCCACAACCATTGGTTGGGAAGAACTCAGGCAAATGACAAAAGGAAGGATAAAAGGTGATCTCAGGTCTCCAGCCCACACAGAACAAGTCCTGGGGGTACAGACATAGAAGAAAATGGAAGTCACACACCTGAAATCTCTGAGAAGATAGCAACTGAAGTAAGGAAACAACTTCATGAGACTGTAAAAGTAGTCAGATTAGAAATGATATTTCAGGTAAAAGAGGAAATCACAAGCATAATGAAAGAATTGCTGAGCATTATCTATAAAAAAGGAGCATAGGAAAATGATGGAAACTTGAATGAACAATATAGGAAGGAATTACAATGCATGATATATTCAAAAAGATATCCAGGAATGAAAATGTTTATCGAAAGCTGGCAAAACCACTTGAAAGAGACTGAAGATAGACTTTCAGACCTTGATGAAAGTGATCACAGCTAGCAATCGTAAAAGGAAAGATCTCTCAAAAATAACAAGGAACAAGGAAATAACAATTCAAAAGCTGCAAGATGACACACACACACAAAAAAAGATTACAGTGGGAAAACGGGTCAGGAAAAATGACACATAGAAGTAATAGCAAAAAAGTTTCCAGAATGGGAAAAGGATCTGGCATCCAGATATGTGATGCATATTGAACTCCAACTAGCCATAATCAAAATAAATCTACATCAGCCATTTAATAATCAAGAAATTGATTATAATCCCAGAAATTTAGCATAAGAACAGAATATTAAAAGCTGTTAACAAAGTAACAGATTGCCTATAAAAGATAACCCATCAGAATCACAGCAGACTTCTCATCATAAACCATCAAGAGTTTGGAGTGAAGTGTGTTAAGTCTTGAAAGAAAACAACTTCCAACCCAGACTGATGTACCCTGAAAAAGTATCTCTCAAAATTCATGGAAAAATAAGATACTTGCATGATACAGAACAACTGAAGGAATTCATGACCACCAAACCAACCCTACAGAAAGTGCTGAAGGATATTCTAGAGCATTGAAATGACCATGGTTCCAGAAATAGCAGCATCCAACAAGACAGGCAATTGAATGAAGGAGAAAAGTGGAGGGCCAAGGACAGGATGATAGCATTGCAGAGATGAACCGATGCATTCTGGTTGGAACCATTAATGTAGATGGCCTCAGTTCAACAATAATTAAACCCTGGAAGAGTGGATCAAGAAACAATATCCATCAATATACTGTGTACAAAAACCATTTAATTTGAAAGGAAATTCATAGATTGAAAATTGAAGAAGAGAAAACAATTGTTCTATGTGATAGGAGACCAGAAAAAAGCAAGGGTAATTTTCCCATCAACTGCAGAATGGATAAGAAAAATATGTTTTTTCATACAATGGAAAGATATTCAGTTATAAAGTAGGATAATCTCAAGGCTCTTGTAGGTAAATGAATGTCACTGGAGATCACGCTCGCGGGTGAAATGGTTTGGACTCATACAGGTGAACACCAAATTACTCCCTTGCATAAAAAACTGAAGAATTAGCGAGATCCAAAAAGCACAATAGATATTATGAAAGTGATGGGGTGGAAACACCTAAAAATCACCGTTAATTTCCTATTATCTTGTTTTGAATTCTTGTAATGTTTTCATAATTGTGTTAGGTTTGGTTTTATTCTATCTTGTTTTGTAAGATTTTACTGTGTCTGATGGTATGGGCAGGTATATTGAAGTTAACAGGATATATTATGGTAACCTTTGTTGATTTCCTGCTATCTTGTTTTGAAGTCCTCTAATAATTTTTTCTTTCTTTCTTTCTTTCTTTCTTTCTTTCTTTCTTTCTTTCTTTCTTTCAGACATGGTCTGCTATGCAGTTCATGCTGGCCTTGGGCTCATTTTGTAGTCCAGGTTGCTTTTAAATTGGCAACAATCCTCCTGCCTCAGCTTCCCAAGTGCTGGGATTACAGGAATGGGAATATGCCACCATATCCTCTCAATGCTTTCATTCTTTTCTGTTTATTGATTTTATTCTTTTAGTTTGTTCGATTTTATTATGTGTGTTGGTGTGGACAGCTATTTTGAAGAAAGCAAGAGACATTATAGTAGTCACTGTTGATTTCCTGTTACCTTGTTTTGAAGTCTTATAATGCTTTCATCCCTTGGTTTTGATTGGTTTTGTTCTGTTTGGTTTGATTTTATTATGTGTGGAGATATGGACAGCTATTTGGAAAAAAATGAGACACATTTTGGTAGCCATTGTTGATTTCTTGTGGCCTTGTTTTTAAGTTCTCTGTCACTTGCATTGTTCTGTTCTGATTTGCTTTATTGTGTTTTGCTTGGTTTTATTTTCCTTAAAATTAAATTAGAGAAAAAGAAAAAGAAAACGTGGTATGAACACATAGTTAAATACTATCCTGCCATAAAGAAGGATAAACGAGTGATTTATAGGAATAAGAATTGGGCAATTTGTAGATAACATATGCACCATAATTTAGGTGAAATAAATTAGATGCATAAGCTTAATTATTATGTGATTCTTATACAAGAAACTCAAAATGTAAGTAAAAACAGATCTTTCAAAGGAGAAGTGGATCAAAGAATGAAGAAGCAGTGGGGGGAGAAAAAGAGATGAAAAGAAAATTGTTTCATTGTGTACTAAACTAATTCCTTCCAAGGAGTGTAAATGTTATAGACTCCAAACATGTACTAACACTTGAAAAAATTCTTAAAATAGTCTTCAGACTTTAGAGTTAATACTTAGTACTGATCCAAAAATAAGAGCTGTATTTAAGTAATCAATGTCTTCTAATAAAAAGGTAACATATAATACATAGAGAAGATTATAAGAGCAAACAAGAAGATAAATCAGGATATCAGAAAACATATTTGATTGAAGGTTCATTAACCCTAAGATATAACAGTAAATTCATATCAGCATTACCCTTGTACAGACTGAGTGGTCTACTAAAAAATTTTGTGCCCATGTTAACTACCTAGCGTAAGTTTAAGACAATCTTAAATATGTGAGTTAGTTTTCCAGAAAGAAGAGTTCCTTGGCTGACTCTTGTTTAATGATATTCCAACCACTTTTGTATCTGATTTACATACTTACTATCGAAGATAAAGAACAAGTTGCAATGTGAAAATGGAAAACATTCAGATCCCTCAAATTAATAAAGCAATAAGCAAGTCCAAACCTGCAATTGGCTTTAGGAATAGAAGCAAGGACGTTGACATGCTTCAATGTGCTCAGAAATTATCATTCATGCAGCATGTGATATTTATTATTATGCATCCTACTTGCAAAGGCATAATGTTTTTTATCAAATAAGACCAAATTAGAAATTCCAAACGATTTTGTAACCATGATAATCAGTGAGATTAAAGTAAAAGTGTATTTGGTTACTTAAATGGGCAACCTTCAGGGGTCCTTCAAAAATAACATTTCTGCAACTATTTTTTGTAGAACATTATTTCATTGGAATAAATTCTCTGCTAAAGAATTCAACTGCTGCATGTGGGGGAAACGATGCTGGAATTGTCAGCAAACTGATCTAGCTTTGCTTATGGAATAAACAAGCCTCATCTTGTATACAAAAACTCACTTCAAACATCACTCCAGTAATAATGGTTATTATCAAAAATACAAAACTTAACAAGTGCTGGCAAAAATGTGTAGAAAGGAAATCTTGCATGCTATTGGTGAGAATGTAATTTATTATAGTCATTATGGAAGTACAGAAGTTCATCAAAAAATTAAAAATAGAACTGCATGTACCAACAATCTTTCTCCTGGATATATTCCTAAAGGAAATGAAGTCAGTGTGTCAAACAGACAACTCTATTTTCATGTTTTATTGCAGCACAATAAATAAGAAATAGGAATAAACTAAGTATCCAGCAGGTGATGCATGGATAAAATATGATGTATTGTACACAATGGTTATTATTCAGCAATAAAAATTACTAAATCCTGTCATCTGCAGCCACCTGAATGGAATGGGAGACCATAATGCTGAGTGGGATAAGCCAGGCATAGAAACACAGAGACAATTATCTCTCTGCTGCTTGGAATATCTAACAGGTGAGGAGTTCAGAGTAAAAGCGTGTTTACTAGAGGTTAGAAAGAGTTAATAACTAGGAAGACTGGGGAGAGACAGATCCAGGAATCTCAGTTACAGCTAGATAAAAGCAGGGAGGTCTGAGGTGCTGTTTCATTAATGATAATATACTATCATGTATAATGACTATATTTCAAATACCTGGAAGAAAGAATTCTGAGTGTTTTCATTATAAAGAAATGATAAATATTGATAGATATGTGTGCCTGGGTTTGAACAATACACAATATATACATGTATCAAAATAGTATGATACCCATAAATAGATACAATTTTGTGTATCCATTAAAAGTATTTTAAATTTTATAATAACCTCTCCATGAGTAAAGTCATTTCTTTTTTTACAAAGTCTTCTTTATTTCCTGTATGTCTTGAATTCTCCTGTGATTTGGACTAAGAGCTTTATGCTTTAATAAACTCTCTGAAAACTCCAGCTAGATATTTTCCTTCTTATATATGTTGACCGTTTTCAATGCCTTAATTATCACTTTTATGTGACCATGTACTTACAAAGTAAAAATGAAAAGCACTTTCCCGTTTTCCAGAATTGCAATGTTATAAATGTATTTCAGGACCTAAATGGGGCCCTGGACTAGCTGTAGCTTAACATCTCTGTCTATGCTCTGATTCACTTTTGCTGTTTTCTTAGCAAAGCAAAGGTATCAATTTCCTTGTTTTACAGTCTAAGCACAGAGGTACACTTGGAGAAGCACTCGAACAAATCGTGGCGAGAATTAAGTTGAAATATATTGAGCAGCCCAGCCCCAAGGTACCCATATAAAACTACAGTGTAACCTTTGGAAAACTCTGATGACCTTGTGAATTGACCGGAAACATCAAAGAAGGAGGTGAGGTTGTGCACACTGGAAACTCACAAGGAAGAGTCACTTTCTGGGGTGCAACAACGCGCTTTCTGCGTAAGTGTCTGTGTTACGGCAAATCCTCGAGTTCGATGAGGTGAGACCCTTTCATTTAATTCCAAATACAGAACATTGGATCCTAATGAGCTGGGTTTTCCCCGCTGCCTAATTCAGCATGTCTATAGTTAGGTGCTTAGGGAGGCCACTAGAAGTCTATTAGACTGGAGTGCTAAAAAACAGGCCCCATGTGACTGAGAGAAATACACTGCACTTGCAGGGGTGCGGCTAAGACCCTGGCTTACTAACATAATGGAACAAAGAAGTAATAGTATTTACTTACTACTGAAATTTATTTATGAAATTTTGAAATTTATTTTCATTAGCACATGTGCATAACACCTTTTAACTGCTTTTTAAAATCATTTTCCTTCCCCTTCCCTTCATCTCTCGACCCCCTTCCCATTTGAAAAAGTTCTCCCCTACACCCTATAGATCTTCATTTATATTTTGGCTTTTTCAATGTGACGTGTAAGCTTGTGTGTGTGACCTCTTTCACTTACCATGATGGTCTCAAGATGCATTCATTTTCCTACAAATTATACAAGTTTATCTTGCTTCATGGTCGAGTAGTACTCCACTACTACATTTCCTTTATCCAATCAACAATAGACTGCTCTTTTAAGTTCTGAAAACTGAAGAGTGACTGTTTTCTTTTATTATTATTTTTATTTAAAGAGAAAAAAGAAAGGAAATTTAAAAAAAGCAGTAAAAGGGTACAAGTAATACAGAATTTCAAGAAAAAAAATATACAGTAAGAAATCACTAGTTAATAGGTTACTTATTGTCTTCTTAGAAACAGTTGTCCAAGTTATAAAATTAAAGCATATAAAGTGGACATTCGTACAGTGAGACTGCAGGCAGTTCCGTTCAATGATCCAACAAAAGCTCAGTAATATGGTTTTCCATCCTACACACTCAAACATACATGCGGTTATATCCCTTAGACCACCTTTCCTTCCTCTCTTTTTTATAATAAAATTACACTTTTTGGGTTTTATTACTCCTACAGTTCTTATTACTTTTTTTTTTTTTTTTGAAGAGAATAAAACCAAACGTGACTAAACAAAACAGAGTCAGTTAGAACAGAAGAATGGGTGGGCATAGTACATGATGCAAAAATAGAATACCAGGTGATCAAAAATGGTTTCCATTGTGCCTCTTGCTATTTTTAAATTGGGTTGCCTATATCGTCAGGTATAATAGAATTGACCAAAACAGTATAGAACAAGACCAATAAACTTACACTGGAGACCTTACAGGACTTCAAAAGAAGATAATAGTCAAACCATAATGGGCATCATAGTAAATCTTATTGCCTTCAAAGTGACTGTTATCTTAAAACTTGAAAATAGCAACCATATGAATAAAATGATGGTACTGTCCATTATTTATTTTTAGATCAAACAAATATGTTCATAAGGATTTTCACAAAATTTTGACATTAGTTTTAGAGTGAGTTATCTTAAAACACAAGCCATGCTCAGAGTGGTGAGTACGTAACTTTGTCCCCAGCACTCTGGGAGGATGAGTTAGGAGGTGTTGGGCACAGGTGCTTCACATACCCCGCCCGGGACTAAGGACCATGCCAAGCTTCCGCAATGCGCTACGTCCCTCTCCAAATTAGCTACCCCATGCGCACCTCGTGCTCACTCCGTATTCGCCCCGTGCTGACTCTGTGGCAACCCCTGATTGACCACAGCTGGGTATATTAGCCAGAGCCCCAGTCTCATTCCAACCCTGCCTCCTTGTGGCAGCCTGTGATTGGTCACGGCTGAATATATAAGCCAGAGCCCGCAACAATAAAGCGGCAGTTACCTGTTACCCACAAGAGCGTCCTCTGTCTCATTGGGGGGCTGCGCCGGTCAAGGAGGGCTGGAGATTTCAGCCCAGCTTGAACAACTTAGCAGCAGGGTGCCTGGAAAAAATAAATGGACAGTGTTGGGGTGTAGCTCAGAGCAAGAGCCCTTGATTCCCTCCTGAGTAAAGGAAAACCACAAACATGAAAAGAAAATGCAAAACTGCTCTCTGACATGCTCACCATTTGCATGGGGATGGCAGCACCTAGAGGTGGGTTGTATTGGGATCACAGCGCTCAGTTCCTCCTCGGTATCCGTTAACCACGTCACCATGTCTATCTACATCAGACCCGTGGGTCACACAGTGCGACTCGAGTCTTACTCACCACACGTCTTATCCTCTGCTTTTCTCTTTTGAAAAATATTTTCTATTTGAGCAAAATGTGCAAATAAAATCTTACTCAGATTTTTGGAACTAATTTCCAACTTTGTTCAAATTTTCTCTTCTCAGCACAGAAAGGTCCCAGCGAGTGATCAGTTTGAAAGGAATTATTTGGAACCAGAATCCTCTTGCTTCTTTTAGAGTCTTCTTGCTTCCTGTATGTGCACGCCCTCAATACTTTATTTGTAACAAGCAAAAGAAATTTGATTTATTTCTTCCTGTCATATGAAAAGTAAGTCTGCTACTCCAATCTGCAACACTGTGCATAATTGTTATTTATGTTAACTTCCGCCTCCTAGTGATTTCATGGCTGTGAAGCAAGAGACAATGACAAGTTACTGACAGAAAAAGTAATTCATAACTATTATCAACTACTTTGGAATAAAATGTTGTGCCTGTGGTTCCAGGTTTTTCTAGTCCTCTTTTCCAGTGTGTGGTGACAACTGCTTACTGTGTGCTGGAACACACACAGATCGAGTAGCCTTTTCTCTGGTGTAGCCCTGTGAGCTTTATTTATATTTAGAAATATATGACCTATTATCTTTCCTTGGTATAATCTTTCCTTCCACCATAATTTTCCTGATATTTGAATGTTTTATAAAAACTGATTTTATGGAGTATAGTAGCATTTATTTTTCTGCAGTCATGCAAACACCACTTTTCTCTCCTTCCTGCATGCAGAATTAAGCTACATATAGTGTAACTTAAACTGAGTGGTATTTTTCTTCTGGCAATAATTACTTTTCATGTAATTTCTAGATATTTTAAAATTCCAGTGATTTAAAAAAAATTTAGTGGTACATCAACAGAAAATCTACTGGTGATTTTTTAAACATCGTAGAATGATCATAAATAATATAAAAATGATTATAAGTTCATAAAGTCTGTAGAACAAGAATGAGGAACAGTTTTAAAAAGGGGAAACAGAGGGAAAGAAATTGCATGCAAGAATCAGCTGCAATCAAGAGTTACTTAAAAACAGCCAATGAGGTGAAGGTCTTTCTGCTAGTAGCTAGTAACAGTCAAAGCTTTTATGAACTTTCTCATCACATAAAAGAAGGAAGGGCATTATAGCAATGAAAAAGGAACACATTCATAGAAGTGATTAAGGACCAGTCTACAGAAGATAGAATGGTTAAGGTTAACTACATTGATATTATCAAGCAGCATCTCTGATGAGTTTTAAACTTGTCATTAATGCTTACTGTGTTTTTTGCAATTGTTATATAGTCAAATTTGATATGTCAAATCAAATGATACATTTATGCTTTACTTAGTTTATATTCTACTTTTTTTGTTTGATAATAAACACATCTGAATCATTCTACAGTTTGGGTACCTGAGATTTTATTTCTGCATTCTTTTAGATCTTCGTTCAGACCCATCTACAAGAACACACAGCATACTAAATCTGGTAGAGAGTAACTACTTTTATCCATCTGTTTGCTTTAAAATTGTAGACTTGTAAGATACTGTCACCGATTTCTAACATTTGAAAATGCAGTCTTCTAATTACACTACCAGTTACGTTTGCATAATGTATATGTTTATAGAGTACATTACTAACGTTTTCAAATTCATTATCTCACTTGATCTTCACAAGATTCCTTTAGGTAAGCAGCACAGGTGTTGTTGTCATTGTTGGACATAAAAATAAGTTGCAAAGAGAGAAATCGTTTTGCCTGAGAATCCTTAACAAATCATCTGTTGGCAGGGTTGTAATTAGAATCTACATTTTCTCTGTTTCATTTAATATGTTTGGATAGCATTGTTCTGTCCTGCAGTTTTCATTCTTTCTTACTGGTTTCAAACAGTTTTGTGTTCAGCATAGTTTACAGCATATTATGTATGTGGACGTATATTATCAAAGTTTTAAAATAAAATGTTTTCACTTTGCTACTGAAATTTATTTCCCTAAAATATTCCAGAACCTCAGTATTATGTTTAAGGACACGGTGCCATGTTTATCTTCTTAGTGTATCAGTTTCAAAAACACAGGGCTATGAGATTTTTACTTATTTATTTATAGAAACATAGAAAGTAAAAAACAAGACAAGACAGAGAAAAGGGTAGAGGTAATACATAGTTTCGAAGAAAACTATTAACATTAAGAAATTACTAGTTGATGAGTTACATACTGTCCTTTTGGAAATAGTTGTTCAAGTTACAAAATCAAAGCATCAAAGGTGGACAGTTTTCTAGTACCTGATTTCCCCTATAATTATTTTTGACCTCTATCCCAAAGGGTTCTATTTTCTGCAGTAGTTTATTTTATATTAATTTTACTCTGAACTCTCATGAAATGCTCGGAGGACCTATAATAAAAAACACATAGATATGAGCAATAAAACCCACGTTCAAACAGTAAAACCCAATTATTTGGGCGAAGAAAATCATAGCAGGAGCATTTCACGTTTGCCAAGCTCAACACTTGGCATAATCACTGTGGTAAGAGCTTAATTTTCTTACATATAGGTGGGGAGGGAGCAAGAGGAAAGGAAGGTCCAGAAGGAAGGAAGGAAATTAACAGAGAAAGATGGAAATGTGACAAGACAACGCTGTTCATATGTGTGCACGATGTGTCAGTTTACAATGTGCCCGCGTGCTTTGCTTGGGTTATATGCATTAATTCATAGTATTTTCAGACTTAAGCTCTTGTGATGACCCTATTTCAGAAAAAAGGAAACAGGCACAGAATGAGAGAACTTTAACACCCATAACTGTTATGAGTGTTAAAGATTCCTACTTAAGATCCTCCAGGAAGTGAGGGCTTCGTTATTTATTTAACCGTAATCTTTGTGTATTAGAAGATTTTTCATATCAGAAAGTAAAATCAAGCAATCGCTGCTGAGACCGTTTTATTTTTCCCTAACACACCTATTTGCATATTTATTAGGTGGCAACGTGGGTGAACATGTAGGCGAAGTTTTCAGTAACAGTTTAAGTAATTAATATTTCCACAAATTCTTTTAAAACACCTGAATTATCGGAATGCTTTTATATGTTAATTAGAAAGATAGAAAAGGAAGAAAAAGGGGAAGGAGGAAGAGGAGGGAAGAGGAGGAAGAAAAACAGTTTTCTTCTAATGACCTATTCTGAGCCATCGATCTAGAAAGCCAGAAGAAAATACGTGCTCTTGCTTAGGTTAAAATGAGAGCCAGCTGCTCTTGTGGCTTTCTGCTGTTCAGCATTAAAAAGGAAAATTATCCATTCCTTTGAGTACTTTTAGATACTGCTTTAAACTGCACTCTGGTCAGCAAGCAAGACCAGTCTGGGAGCCAGCACCGTGGTCAGGCCACCACAGGACTGGGGATAGTCAGACCCCAACCCCTTCCAGGGTGGGCTGGCAAACAAGAGGTGCCAACCTTTCCCTTCACCCCTATATAAGAGACTGGCTTATCAGGAGATACATAGGCTGTGATGCTAGCTATGGAGGTGAGATGCAGTTGGCTGCCTGTGGTGCTGTGGTGTTTCACTAACATTGCAGGTCTAGGGCCAGTGGTGAGATCATAGGCTCAGAGGATAGCAGTAAGCAGTGTGGCGTCTAGGGGGATCTCCTTCTGAGGGTTGCAGCCAATGTTGATTCCCTATGGTCTTGTTTTGGAAATCCTGTATCATTGTTCTGTTGGGTTGGGTTTTATTCTCTGTTGTTTTGTTTGATTATGTGAAATCCGATGGCAGGAGCAGCTATTTTAAAGATAGCAAGATATATTATAGTAGCAATTTTGAATTTACTATTGCCTTGTTTTGAAATCCTTTATTACATTCATTGTTTAGTTTTTATTGTTTCTCTTCTGCTTGATTTTTACTATGTTGAAGTTATTTACAGCTATTTTGAAGACATCAAAAGGCACTATAACATCTATTGTTGATTTTGTAATGTTTTGAAGTCCTGTATCTCTTATACTGTTTTGTTTTGACTGGTTTTATTCTGTTTTATCCTCTTTAGAATACAAAAAAGTTTGCCTCTAATACTGCCTCTCAATAATGGTAGGGAAGTTTGTGAAGGACTTAAGCATCATTGAAGCACACTACTGCACACCAGTCTAATTCTAGATTTCTGTGTCTTCTGTGGGGTCGCTCCTCCACTAAACTAAACTGGCAGCGTGATAGCCCACAGGAGGGGGCTTAATACTTTTCTGAGTTAAACCAAATGTTAAGTCAACGAATAACCTCAATCTTTTTATTACAGAGCCCTGGAAGATTAATTTAGAAATTTGTGATGGGCAATTCTTTATTGACTCCTTTGAAGTGTGAATGCTCTATGACACAGAAATATCTTTAAGATCCCGGGAGAGATCCCCGTAATACATAGTCATTGAGAAAGACAGCACCCCTGCTTCCCAATGTTTGTGGGGTGTGGGAAACTATCTTCCATAAACCCCAGCTAGCAAGCACAGACAGTTCCAATCGCATTGATCACACATCTTAATGTTCTTTAATACCCTTCTAGAAGCTCATCTTCGTACTTAAGACTCTCTGCCTTTTGTTAGGGGAAGTGAGTTCCATTTGTCTTTCCCTGTTGAATGGTCTTGCTTCCTTTACCTCTATTGGTATAATTATTGTTTGACACACATCAATTCAATTTGAGACTCATTAAGGTCTCTTTCTTCACCTGTTAAGGGAAGACACATCAAGACATTGTAACTCAAAGAATACCCTAAGTCTTGATGAAAACCGCCTGGAAATGTAACATGTAAAGTCGTACCTTAAGGAAATTTACAAAAATTTTGAGGATTGTTCATATTTGTGTCTTTTCTTCAGTGTCATAGTTTTTGTCCTTTTAACATCATATTAATCTCTGTCATGCTTTGTTTCTAAGAGTGCTTCATGATATTATCAGAAAGAAAAAAGTTTTTCTCATATAAGTGAAATTTTATACTCTATTTTATGGTGATTCTGGTAAGAAATAACTTAAAGCTATATGTAGCATTCTCTTTTTCAGTTTCAAAATTTTCTTCCTAATTAGAAAGTCATAATAATTAATCGCCATGAGCATCATTACAATGAATGTTTTCTTCATTAGCTACAGATATTGTTTAAGCATTATTTGTTATTACTATTAAAACTGCTACACCTTTCTACTAAGCAATGATATCTATTTTTAAACTACAAAGATTCAAATGTTGAAAAATCCCTAGATCTGATGGGCAAATTAAACCAAGAAAGCACAAATATCTCTCGATGAAATAGTATATTAGCACAGATAGAAAGTTTGAAATATTTTTAGGC